TCTGGTCTTTGTAAGGAGGCGTGGATTCAAACCCCACTGCTGAAAAAATTTATGATATTTTAATTCTATTATAAATTCTTTTCTCCAAAGCATCTCCAAACATTGTACTTCTACTTTTAGTTCATTTGATGCTAAAGAACTCAGCTCCCTCTTCCATTGGAACAAAAAATGCTCAAACCAAGTTGAACCATAACCATCAACAACATTGGCAGTCATTATTGATTCTCCTTCCAAAGATTCCATCTTATTCCATGAACATACTCAAATTATCAATAGATCTATATAACACATCAACTTAAGCTAGTACTAAAATCCTTTTCTCAAACAAAAATAGCAAAAATACATGATTTAGTTTCAATAGATTAACATATATAAATATTGTTGGAACAAATTTGCTTCTATCAAACACTCTCATTCCTTCTCTCTTATAAAATTTTGTCACCCTTATGATATTTCTTTTTGTCAATTGTCCATACTATAATTTATTGTAATTTTTTAATAATTTTTTTTTTCAATCGTCAATTATTAAAGAATTTTTAATATCATAGTTTTCTAATGCCATACATGTGTTTTATCTTCCATTTTTAATCATGACTAAATTGGTGTATAGATTTCTAAAAATAACAATTATTTGTGGTTATTTATGTCACACTCACTCTTATAGAAGGTGAACTTAGAATACAAATTTCAAAGTAATATGAAGAATTTTAATATATATATATATATATATATATATAAGTATGTTACAAGGGCATTCTTATTATGATTGCAAAATCAATCTTCAACAAAGAAATTGTCTATCATTTGAACCAACTTTTAATTTATTGTAAAGATAATTGATTATCTTTAAAGAATATATTAACCAAATTTATCCAAAGAATTGTATTTTTCATTTATAATCTCTCATTTGTATTCCAATTCTTTTAATGAAGAAAAAGACAAATTATTACAAATATATTTAGATTATTATAAATTAAATAAATTAACTATTAATTTATTTTATTCTTCTAATTTTAATATCATGAATTCTTGATCAACTAAATATAAATAAGATTTAATATTTAAAATGTATAATTTTTATATATTTATATAATTTATAATTTAATACATACTAGCAAAATCCATATTGTTTCTATATAATTTCATCTTAAATAAATGTCATTGTAGAGACATTATCTTCTTTCTTTTTTACATATATATTATCTTTGGGTTATGATTACATATATTTGAAATGAAGTTGGTCACTTCCATATCAAAATGCTTCTATAATAATGCAGTTATAATCTCCTCTATTATATCAAGGGACTAGGATATTGAATAGCCATTGACTTCTTTAGATTTTGAATAGTTTCAAAAATTATATTTGAATAAAGATAGTAATACTTACAAATGATAATTCTAAATAAAATTATGGATACTTAAATATAACTTTAGTTCTAAGCCACTCATCACGTATTTTTATTTATATCAATAGTGAAATATTATATTCATGTTTAGTTGTAGAATCAATCCAAATCTCATCTAAGTATGCAAACTGAACATCAAATTTTGGCTTTACTACTATAAATATCTCTTACCAAATTTAGAAAAATACTATTATTATAGAAACTATATAAAACAACAGAAGAGTCACTCTCAATACTCCAATTACTTCTAAAGACAAAAGATCTAAGGATCCAAGAATACAAATTACAAAGTTAGAAGTCATAAATCCATGCTGTAAAAATATATGGAAATTGATTATTTTAATAAAAATCCTTCATATCTAAATTTAAGAAGGACATATCTAAAATATCAAAAATTTAAAATTCAAAATGGACTTAATTTTAATAATTGATTTCTTATAATACAATAGTATAGTTATCTTCATCCAAAGGCTTAAGATAGTTGCTACATGCATCATTGCATAAATCCTAAGTATTTTCCTCTACAAACTTGGTTGCAAATGGAATTTGAACCTTGAACCTTACACACATCAATAACCAATATCCCTACAAGCACTAGTCAAAATCATACGGTAGCACATCTCTCTATCTTATACATAGTTGAGTTTTCAATCATCCATGGTATTAGAATAAGAATATTTTTTTAAGAAAACATAAGGTCTATGGCTATAGCTAAATAAGGTCAAATATTTAGCTATATAACACCTTTCAATCAAATGAACTCTACTACTTTATACTCTTAATAATATGTAGGAATTGTCATTTCTTTTTCAATCAATTAAGTGTCATAGCTATATGTTTCATTAGATTTGAGTATATGATGATTCTTTAGAAAGCTACTTAGTCCATATATATATATATATATATATATATATATATATAAATAAATTAAATTTTATTTCTTAAATTTTTCTACAACATATTTTATGAACAAAAAAAACTAAAGATCATATTAACATAAGACAATTGCCTCTTTTTTATCCAAAAACTCATTCCATCTTAATAAAAACTCCACTTGGAGCAGGTGAGAGCTTTTTAAAAAGCTAAAAAAGAAAGAAATTATTCTAAAAATCTACAAAAAAAATACTAAAAATATTATGAGAAATTTTTCCAATAAATACCATGAAGAAGATCTTAAAGAACACCTAGTTCTTTCTTTTTATTCTAAAACATATTTTGACTCTATAATAACTCTTCTTGGAGTGAATGAGAGATTTTTGAAAAGCATACATATAGAAAAAATATTCTTCAAAATCTTCAAAAAAAATACTAAAAATATTATAATAAATCTATCAAAAAAAACCTTGAAGAAGACCTTGAAGAAAAATTAGAACTCACTTTATTCTAAAACATACTCCATCTTCATGCTCATTCTTTTCTAAGTAAATTATGGATTTTTAAAAAGTCAAAAAATAGAAGAATCACTTCTTAAAATCTCCAAATAAAATAATAAAAATATTATAAGAAATTCATCCAAAAAATCCTATAGAAGATCTTAAAGAGTGGCTAGCTCTTCCTTTATTCTAAAACACATTCCATCTTCACACTAATTCTTCTCCGAGCAAGTAAGAATTTTTTAAAAAGCTAATAAAAATATAAACCACTTCTCACAATCTTAAATAGAATACTTCAAATATTATGAAAAAACTACAAAAGAATGGTTTGCTAGATCTAAGGGACAAGAGCCTGAGCAAAGAAGAAAAAAAGAGAGATTTAAAAATCAACACAAGCCCATGTTACTTTATGTTAGTACCATTCCACTTCATCTCAAGTCTATACAAATTTGTCTTGACTAATCTTTGCAGATAAACTATCAATATCTATAACTATCTTTTTTTTTCTTTTTATTATATATATATATATATATATATATATATATATATATATATATATATATATATATATATATATTATTTCTTTATTATAAATCAAATTTTTATAATATTATATTTTTATATATTATACCACTTTCTAGTATAATAACATGTTTCAAAATAAGCTACATCATTGAGTTAATTTTTATAATACAATGCCCATTTTATTCAATGATTATAAACTAAAAATAAAAAATTTATCAAAAAATCAAAGTTTTTATTATTTTTAAGGATCATTTCTTTAAGATGGAACAACAACCTTATGAATTCTATGGCAACAATATGAATTTTGCTAGTATGTATTAAATTATAAATTATATAAATATATAAAAATTATACATTTTAAATATTAAATCTTATTTATATTTAGTTGATCAAGAATTCATGATATTAAAATTAGAAGAATAAAATAAATTAATAGTTAATTTATTTAATTTATAATAATCTAAATATATTTGTAATAATTTGTCTTTTTCTTCATTAAAAGAATTGGAATACAAATGAGAGATTATAAATGAAAAATACAATTCTTTGGATAAATTTGGTTAATATATTCTTTAAAGATAATCAATTATCTTTACAATAAATTAAAAGTTGGTTCAAATGATAGACAATTTCTTTGTTGAAGATTGATTTTGCAATCATAATAAGAATGCCCTTGTAACATACTTATATATATATATATATATATATATATATATATATATTAAAATTCTTCATATTACTTTGAAATTTGTATTCTAAGTTCACCTTCTATAAGAGTGAGTGTGACATAAATAACCACAAATAATTGTTATTTTTAGAAATCTATACACCAATTTAGTCATGATTAAAAATGGAAGATAAAACACATGTATGGCATTAGAAAACTATGATATTAAAAATTCTTTAATAATTGACGATTGAAAAAAAAAATTATTAAAAAATTACAATAAATTATAGTATGGACAATTGACAAAAAGAAATATCATAAGGGTGACAAAATTTTATAAGAGAGAAGGAATGAGAGTGTTTGATAGAAGCAAATTTGTTCCAACAATATTTATATATGTTAATCTATTGAAACTAAATCATGTATTTTTGCTATTTTTGTTTGAGAAAAGGATTTTAGTACTAGCTTAAGTTGATGTGTTATATAGATCTATTGATAATTTGAGTATGTTCATGGAATAAGATGGAATCTTTGGAAGGAGAATCAATAATGACTGCCACTGTTGTTGATGGTTGTGGTTCAACTTGGTTTGAGCAGTTTTTGTTCCAGTGGAACGGGGAGCTGAGATCTTTGGCATCGAATGAACTAAAAGTAGGAGTGAAATGTTTAAAGATGCTTTGGAGAATGGAATTTGTGACAGAACTGAAGTGTCATTCTGTATGTCAGCAGTGGGGTTCGAACCCACGCCCCCTTACGAAGACCAGAACTTGAGTCTGGCGCCTTGGACCACTCGGCCATGCTGACTTGAACTGTCGAGAAGTTTCTAGAATTTCTTTCTATACAATATATTAAACTCATGTACCCCCACTTGGCAACTAAAACTTCCTCGCAGTGACACAGAACCCCTGACCGAAACACCAACCGTTAGTGTGTGGGGGGAGGGCAAGTGTGGGGAGAGGGCACGGCTCATCCATCCATTCCGAGGCCAGGGCCCAAAACCGACCAACTCTGGAGCTAAGGAGAAGGAGGGGCATTATCCATAACTGAAGCTCCCCAGACCCAACACAAAACACCTCTTCACCAACACTAGCATTGACGAAGGGGAGATTGGGCAAGTGTCAGGACTAGGACGATCAACTCTCTCTCTCCGCTCCTCCCTTCTTCTGCTCTCCTGCACTTCACTCTTCTGGAGCATTCCAAACCTCACTCCGTCCCCCCTGAAAGCACCAAAACCCACCCTGTGTCATTTGACTTTGCACTGCATCGTCTCATTCCCCTCAATCCCTCGTCCCCTCCATCCACCTCACTTTGCCTCTCATTCCCTCTCTGTTTACCACCCACCAACCCAATTCTCCTCATTGCATGCGCCTTCATTGCTTTGTCGTGCAATAGCCTTCGTGTCGCGTCATCCTTCTAATCGCTTGCTTAGTTTGGGTTTAATCTACCGTCATGGCTTCTCAGGTCGGAACAGCTCTCAGTGCCCAGACCTTCAAATTGGCTGCTTTCCAGGGCCTAAAGGCTACCCCCTTGCGGTCTGTGGAGCTTAACCCTAAGCAGATTTCCTTCGCTTCTCCGTCGTTTTCCCGTAGGTGCGTGGCCGTGCGCGCTGCTGCGGCCGTCGCGACCAAGTTCACCACGCTCAAGCCCCTTGGCGACCGCATCCTTATCAAGATTCAGACCGTGGAGGAGAAGAGCTCGGGTGGTATCCTGCTGCCCACCACCGCGCAGACCAAGCCTCAAGGCGGGGAGGTGGTGGCAGTGGGCGACGGCAAGGCGCTGGGCGATAAGAAGCTGGAGCCTGTGGTGAAGACGGGTGCGCAGATCGTGTACTCCAAGTTCGCGGGTACGGAGGTGGAGTTCAATGGGAAGCCACACCTCTTGCTTAAGGAAGACGATATCGTGGGCACGCTGGCGACGGATGACGTTAAGGACCTTGTGCCTGCCAACGATCGGGTACTCATTCAGGTCACAGAGATGGAATCAATGACCTCAGGGGGCGTGCTGCTCACGGACAGTGCAAAGGAGAAGCCCGTAATCGGAACTGTTGTCGCCACAGGGCCAGGTGGCTACGGCGAGGACGGCGAGCGGAAGCCTCTGGAGGTGCAAAAGGGCAACACAGTGCTCTACTCCAAGTATGCAGGCAACGATTTCAAGGGCAAGGACGGGACGCAGTACGTGGTGCTCAGGGTGCAGGACATTCTCGCTGTGCTCTCGTAGTGAGCTACACATAAATTTTCTCGATACATTCCATTTGCGCATGTGGGTTAGGTCAGATTCTTCCAGCAGTTTAGGGTGCGCACGTAGTATTAACTCACAAGAGTTGGAATAGGTCAGTAAGCGTTGTAGTATTTGATAGGAATGAATGCAATCTTCTTTAGTTTTGAAAGGGATTGTGGTGGACGACACATTCTTTGTAGATTTGTGTGGGCTGTTGGTTCCATGATTTTCATTACGATCAGTATTTTTGTGGTGAAATTGCCAATGCTTGAATTCTGGTGCCCTGGATATCTTATACAAAGTGGATGTGCTATCTTAAGGTAGGTGTCAGAAAGAAGATATCCAGAGTGTACTCATTGTTTTGGTGTGAGTTTTGAATTTTGTAGTTGAATTTTATATGCTTACAGATTTAGTCTGAAAATTAGCCTTAATTTATTCGATGTGATTACATTACTTGATTACTATCCGTTAGAGCATGCCTTGACAAGATCCTCTTCAAATATCATAGTGGTGAGGCCAAAACACTTGAAAGAGACATGTATCCATTTTCATGATAACTAATTGTGCTGATAATGCAATTTACCACTTCTTTCAAACTTATTTTCCACCTTTGTCTTGTTAGAGTCTCTTGTTTGACTTTATAGTAAAATGACAATTGGATATTAGAATGTCTTTACAACTCTAAAAATAACAAGTATGCTATTTCTCCTTTAGAATAGATCACATAAGATATTTAAATTTAGCTTTGGCACTATAGCATTAGGACTACTTTAAGTTTTGACTTTTAAATTGTGATTGAAACCAATTTGGAGTGTCAAGCATAAGACTTTGCCAAATCATCAATAGATCTTCAAGATGTTAGTAATGCAATTAACTAAGAATACTTCATTGGCTCCTCTCTTTACTTACACAAGACTTTAAATCACACATGTCCCTCACCTTAATAGCATTTGAAAGTATAGTAGAATTTTTTCACCTATTATAATCATCAAAAGCCTTAAATGCCTCTATTTCTTAATTCCACTCAACTTTATACTTTTTGTGTCCTTCACATCAATAGCCTTTAGGAAGTAAGGCAGTAACTTTATTCCATATTCAAATGTCCCATATTATTGGTGGTTGCAATATCTAAACTACTACCACAATCTATTGAAGTAAAACTTTTTATTATTGCCAAGACTTTACACATCATGTGCTCATCATCTTGACAATCTTTTGGAAATACTCTAATGCCTAATTGGGGTGACTCTTTTGTTTATACCTTCTATTTGGCTGTATAATTATATCATCTCATCTCAATACTTTGAGTGCCTCAATTAACAAGGAAGGTATTCTTTGCATCTCCTTCCAATTTGGCTCTTTTTGGCATTATAAATCATTGTCAAATTAGGTAGCAATAGGTGCAAATTATTTCATGCATTTCTTTCTTTCAATTAGAATAGTGCAATAGAGCTATTATACTCCCTCAAGACTATTATCTGTCGATAAGGCATTAAATGCAGTAAAGATTAAAGAATATCATGTTACTTGTATCCTCTCAAGAATCTTATTATTCATTGCAACTTAATTTCTAATATGCCAATACTCTTGAAAATGGTGTGTACTTAAACTAACTGCCATAATATCATTGCTTTGACAAGGTGACTATGTTGTTACTTCTTTTATCTTTAAAAAATATACAAGTTAATTCAAGGCTCTATCAAGTTTAAAATAAAAAAGGTGAAATCAATCAACAAGAAAAGAAAGACAAGTAATGTTAGTCGTTCATAATTACTACATGGCAAGGACATGAATTAGAAGAAGATGCATAAACTTAAGAAATCAATGTCAAAAAAAATAACAAAATGAAATAAAGTAATATGTATATTTAAAAAAAAACTGGAATGGTTATTGCCAAAAGATAAGAAAACCAAAGACTCTTGAATTTAGACTAAAAGGAACAAAAGAATTGACAAGAATGAAGAAAGCTTCACTCTTGCATTTATATGTACTTTTTAACTAAGAGCTATGTGGTAATGTTCTATAGGACCTCTAATATGTGTTGATTTTGTAAGATACATGCCTTAGCTTATACGACAAGTTTTTTATATGTACACCACATAGTTAGCTTATTCTTCAAGCTATCAACATGTGTGGCACATGAGTAACTTGTTGACCATGTTTCTAATCTAAAAAGTCAATTATATACACTTGTAAAGGCAAAAGAGCATCTATGAAGCTTCTAAAAAGCTTATATAGAAGATATTATGGAATTAACATATTTTAACATACTTTTATCTAATCATATAGGTAATTATTGGTTTACATGTGTATATCTGTGACACTACATATGCAATAACTATTCAATTATGCATCCACATAACTGACATAATTCACATTGCTAAAGTTTGTTACTATAATACATATATTATTTCTAATCTATTCTAAATTACCATCTTTTGTATAAATCAAGAAAAATCTTATTTTGCCAGCTAAAATCATTAAAAATTATAGTCTCCAACTTGATGCAATAACTAAAATAAATATTACTTAATAACTATATTAATTATTGTTGTGTTAGCAAATAAACACTTTTTTAGAATCCTTCTATGTCTTAGGAATGCTAAATACTTTAAATACATGTAATTCTTTTAGTAGCTTTGTTTTTGTTTTAAAAGTCTTTTTTTTTTTAAAGGCTTGCTTAATTTTGTATTGTAACATGACTGTAGGATAAAAAAAATATAGATTATATTACAAAAGAGTATAATTAAAAAATATAGAAAAAAAATATAGATAAAAGATAGGAAGATAGTAAAAATATTTAGTATTAATACAATCTTTTTATATAAAAAAACTTCTACTTACTTTATATAGCCATAAATATGGCAAAATAAATTTGATTTAAAAAATAAATGATTTAAGTATCTTTAAGAAGGAATTATGAGTAGTTTTTTACAAAATTTATCTTAATAATTAAGAATTGATATCCAAAAAAGACAAGTTATGAACTATGATTGAAATCAAATCCTAAGGCACAATATTGTATACATACAATAATTCAAGGTTTTTTTTGTTGATCAAATAATATAATTACAAGAGAGATTTTAGAGAGTTTGTTGAAGAATTTATTTCAAGTGATTTGGATTATTTTTGAATTATTTAGAGCTTTTCAAAGTCAAAGATAATTTTAGTGATTTTGATTTTTAAAAAATAAAATAAATAGATTTATTTGAAGAATTATCTAATTATATAGATTAGATTTATATTAGATTAATTTATAAGTATATATTACAATACTTAAAAATTTCTTAGGATTTCATTAGAATTTAGTTTTAAAAAATTTATTATTACTTTAAAGCTTCTTTATTATTTATTGGAGATTTTTTTAAAATATTTATTTATAACTATTTATAATTTCTTTAGATTCTCTTTAAAAATATATATAATGTTAATAGAGATTTTTTGAGATTTCTTCATAATTATTTTAGAATTTTATTAAGACTTCTTTTAGGATTGATTAAGGTTTTATTAAAATTATTAAAATTCAATTGAGATTTTTTTAGGATTTTATTAGAATTTTTAAGATTTTTTTTGTTACAATTTTTATTTTACCTTCTATAGTCAAAATTCCATTGTATTTTTAGGCAAGGCAATATATTATATAATATTATATTGACAATTATTTAACTTGAGTTTACATGCTCTTATCCTTGATCAAGTCATAAGTCATGGTTTTGAATAAGGTGAGATTCTTCACCTTTGGAATTCCACTATATTAACTTTGTTGTGTTAATACTATAGCTAATAGTATTAAATTATTGTCCAAAGGTGATATTGATGCATGGACCACTTCTTCCACTTTTGCCTTTGGCACCATTCTTCTGTTCTTTTTTGGATTGAGATTCTTTACCTAGTTTAGTAATATCTTAATAAGTCATCTTAAAACCTTCTATTTTTTCCGTCTCATTAAAATAATATATTGAAGGGAAGATTTTTAGCATATTAGGTACCAATTTTTTAAAGGTTTTAAGTACCTTATCCACTTAACTTACAAAATAGGCATTTATTTTGATTTATTGGCCAACTAAAGTCAGCTTGTACAAACTCATTATTTGATTCAAAAGTTAAACTTTGGTGATCAAACATAGATCTATCATATAGAATGCATTCAATTCTTTATCTTAAATTGTATGAATGTTAGCCAAGATGGCTTAGGCATTGGTACAAATTTTACCACCCTATGTCTCTTCTTTGGCAAGTTGGAGTTCTTTCTTGCAGGCGTTCATATGTATCTTCAATACATTTATATTTTTTGGAGTCTCCACTTCCTTAACTAATAATTCAAAGATTAGATCTTTAAGTATATTTGATTAAAATGACTATTTTAGCCATGATTCTAAATAATTTAAAATAACTATCTTGAAAATGATACAAAGTTAGCTAAGCAATGTCAAAAACATTGGTGGAAGTTGATCTTGCCAGACTTGAAAAAAATTACTTTATTTACTTTTCTAACTCTAGAAATGAGGTTTTTTCTATTCTTATTTGTTTTAGAAGGTATATTGTTCTTTGCATTGATTTTACCTTTGCAATCTTCTTATTTCATATTAAATTTCATCATCTTCATCATCATCTACATCAATTTCTCACAATTACCATACTATCTCATTTCTTATTCATTCTTCATATTTTGCAAGGATAAATAATCTCTTAGTTTAATACAAACGATAAAAAAAAAGTGAAATGAATGATGTGGGATTCTAACTTATATTAAAAATGGTTTGTAGAATCAAATAAAGAAGCAAATTTTTTCAATTTAAAACTTATGTCTTAATAATGGCTTTTATCCAAATTATCGCTTAAGTTTTATTAAAGACATAATATATATATATATATATATATATATATCAATAATTATCCAAAGAAGTGGAATTATATAGAAATAAATAAAAGTAGATAAATTATGTAATATCTTATAGAATAACTTCTTAGAAGCTTTCTTAATCTTAATTTGAGTTTATACATGTCTACATGTGATTGATATGTTGAAAATTTGGCCAACAAATTAGCGACATATTACATATTTTTGCTACTTGTGGTTTAAATTGGCTATGTAGCACACATATAAGAAACTTACCTTGCAACTTAGATATGTATCTTATAACTTAGACATGTGTTGGAGGTCCTATAAAAAAAATTACTCAAGAATTAATCATATTATTTTTTATTTATATTCTTGAATTATATTAGATATATTGTTTTATATTGTATTATCATAATAGAGATTTTTAAAA